TCCCCTGGGCCTCCAAGTAATAATTACCAACGCTATTTGGGGGTTCCTTCTTCTAATTTTAGTACAATGGGCCCCAAAACCCTATTTTAATTATAGTATGATGGGCCCCAAAACCCTATTCTAATTATTAAGGCCCCTACAGAACCCAAACCCCTTGATCCCTTAACGTCGAAGACCACCGAAACCCGGAGCCCTGGGCCATGTTTAGGGTTTGGGGTTTAGGGTTTGGGGTTTAGGGTTTAGGGTTTGGGCTTTAGGGTTTGGGATTTAGGCTTTGGGGTTCAGGGCTCAGGGATGAAGCCTAAACGCCCAAGCCACGAAATGCGCAACATGAGTAAGGCCTCGGGGGGTTCACATTCTAAACCTCCAAAGGGCTTGCTTGGAGGATCAGGGGACTTAGTAAGTAAGGTTATAAGTCCCTTAATTGGGGTTATAGGTTAATATAAGTATAGTTACCTTAATTATAACCCTACTTACTAAGTCCCATGATCCTTTAAGTCTACTCTTTGGCTAAGCGGTCTTCCGAAGCGCTTTGAGGAGCCTTGAAGACTTCACGCAGATTTGCTTCGAGGGAGTTCCTGTAAAGTTCAAAGAGCTTCCTTTGTTTCAGGGGTATGGGCTCTCCGTGCCTGGGGATGTCCTACAAGTGGGAGTAGCAAGCGTTTCTGGTCCGGAATTTGGAAGCAGAGTTCAGGGAGCCACGGATCTGGGTGAAGCTTCTTTTTTCAGGGTCCGGGGGCCGAGGGTTTTGAGATTCGTGTTAGGGTCTAGGGTTTTGGTTTAGGGTTTAGGGTTAAGGGTTAGGTTTACGTGATGGTTTAGGGGGCAACGGAAGCGATGAAGAGTGTTTCTGTCTCCTTCTTGGTAGTTGTATGATGATCTACCCAACACTCTTGTCGACCGTGGTCGGTTCCCATGAGGGACCCGGGGGGGAAATGCTATTATTCTATATAATATTTGTTTTGTATTATGCTATATCATATCATGTTGTGTTATGTTACATTATGCTTCACATTGTTGTGTTACACACGCGTTGCCACATTATACTATACTGAACTATACGATACCATACTATGCTATACTTTGCTATACTTTGCTATACTGCGCTATATTATGCTATACTATGCTATACTATGCTATACTATGCTATATTCTGTGCTGTACTATGCTATACTATACTACGGTATTGTAATGTACCGTACTGTACTGCACTATTCTATAGCACATATGATATTATGGAAGAATATTTTTTGATATTTTAGTATATTACTTACTTTACATCAGTTTGTACTAGATCGTGTTATACTCTACTGGTAGACCTTGTAAAGTTATATTGTTGTATGTCGTCAGATTACAACCACAGTCCCATTCCTCGTCATCAGGCACTGGTGTTGAGGTTTTGGGCTGTCAGGGCGTTCCTAAAGATCTTGTGGGTGGAACCCCGCGTGCCTTGCCCACAACTTGTGCCCTAAAGTGCTTCCTCACTACAAGCTGGAGTCTACGGGCTTAGCTTTTCTGGGTAGTCAGAAATGTGCAAGGAGTCGGCAGACCAAAATCCTTGAGCAACATGAGTGCAGGATTCGCACAGATGCGATGTCGGTGACCTCCATCATGAAGACCTTGGCAGCTTGAGCAGCAAAGGTCGAGGGTCATCAAAGGGGCAAACAGTCTTGCCAGGCACATTGACATATAGGGGCCTTAATAATTAGAACAGGGTTTGGGGTCCCATTATACAGTGATTGTAATAAGGAGCCCCCAAAATAGTATGTGTAATCATAAAGGCCCCTACATCACTGTCAATAACGGTCGGGTGACAAGGGGAAGAGTCTCGTAATCGCTTTGAAGCTCCTGTATCGAGACAAACCTTGGGCCCTTTTGTTGCCCGAAGCAAGTGAACCCTGCACCCCAAACCCTGGACGAAGGTTTTGCCCGATGTACTCCGCTCCCAGGAAAAATCGGGCTTTTGTGCTCATTATCGCCGTTGCTGCTGCAGTTGCTGCTGCTGCTGCGAGTTATCCTTGTGGCAGTGTTTGTTTTTGTGGAGTTTTGAATATCGAAAGGTGCGCAGGTGCAGTAGGACTAGGGCCCTTCCCTTCGAGTATACTACGGAACCCTGATCGGGGACCTTGCCTAAACGTCTAAAGTTTCTATGCCTAACCCTAAACCCTAAACCCTAAATGAAACTTTTCGTCCAGGCCCGCTACGAGCAGTGGCAGCAGGCGATGTGTGTCTTCTCGGAGCTTTCACAGCGATCTGTTCAGAGGCTCGGGGAGCTTCGGCGGGTCAAACGCATCGTCGGATGTTGGTTGTCATGAACCCTAAAAAAGGGGCCTTCATAGTTAGAAGAGGGTTCCTTTAAAGGGTTACTATAAGGGCTATTATAAGGGTTCTATAAGGGTCTAATTTAGGGGCCTTAATATTTGGAATAGGGTTTTGGGGCTCATTGTACTATAAGTTTAGCCAGGATCTCCCCAAAATAGTGTTGGGAATTATTCAGGCCGCTACATTAGCTTATTATCTTTTATTGTTAGTACTGACCTTAGTACTGTTAGTGTTACTGCTATTGTTACGGTAACGACTATTAGAGTTATAGTTGCTGTTGCTGTTATTTCTACTGTTACAGTTGCTGTTAAGATTCATATTGCTGTTATTGTTGTGTTGTCGTTATTGTTGTTGTTATGAGTACGAGTAAGAGTATTAGTAAGTACTATTCGTATGAGTATTTGTCTAGGTGGGTAGTTACCGTCTTTCAGCCTCATGGAAGGCTTATATACCTTAAAGAAGCCTTATAGAAGCCCTATATACCCTAAACTCCCCACCTGTAGTTTCGCCTAAATTTGTATTAGTATCAGCATTAGTAACGGTAGTAGTATTACAGATATCACGTGTGTTTTATGCTTGCTTTTTCTCTGTCCTGGTATGTGTCGTTTGCGAGCCAACTGTTCACAAGGGCACTTTCCACCAACGCGTTCCTAAACCCTAAACCCTAAACCCTAAACCCTAAACCCTAAACCCTAAACCCTAAACCCTAAACCCTAAATCCTAAACCCCTAAACGCCTAAACCCTAAACCCTAAACGACACCTTGGACTCCACGACAGAATCCCGGAACCGGGGGGACCCTAAACCCCAAACTCTAAACCCTAAGCCTTAAACCCTAAACCCTAGACCCTAAACCCTAAACCCTAAACCCTTGAAGCCTCAATCCGATCCCGCCACCCTAATCCTAAAAGTTTTTGCTTTTATCCCCGCACCCTAATCGCCAAATTCTGGAGCTTCGAAGCCAAACGTAAGTAAGCCGTACTCCGTAGAACGTAGCTACCACATGCTAAATCCAAAACCCCAAGCCCCAACCCCTGACCACTCGACAAACATAGTCAAAAGCTCTAAACCCTATGTCCCACAGCCCTTAACCCTAAACCCTAAGCCCCAAAGCCCCAAAGCCCTAAGCCCCAAAGCCCCTAAACCCCCTGAGCCCCTAAGCCCCAAAGCCCCTAAACCCCCTGAGCCCCTAAGCCCCAAAGCCCTATAAGCCCCCAATAAACCCTAAGCCCCAATGCCCCTAAACCCCCCTGAGCCCCTAAGCCCTGAGCGCCGCCTCCCTTACGTGCCTTGGAGGAACGTCGTCGTCTTTAGCACGGCGGTGGTCGCCTGCTCCAAGGGCCGGCGCTGGGATCAGGCGCGTGCTGCCGCCGCATAAGGGTATTCAGGGTGAATACAACACTTGATATATATATATATATAAATATATATATATATACATATACACACATATTTATATTTATATATATACATACACACACACACACATATATATATATATATACAAGTATATATATATATA